ACATCGTGACAACTGGAAAGATCAGTCGAACAAGGGGTAGAGGCAGACCAAGAGAGATGATGCAGGATGGGCTGAAAACTATGGCATGAAGGTATCACCAAGAGAGCTGTTCCAGTCAACTAGGGATCGTGATCTATGGAGACGCATGAGCGGCTAAGCCAGTTGGCAGGGTACATGATGATAATGATGATGATGGTGATGATGATGATGACTGTTTTGTAATTCTCCCAGATCGCAAAAACATATTTGTATACAGTTGTCAGCACCATACTTTAATATTAGCTAATGCATTTTCTTGAGCAATACGTGTTTAGAATTTAGTTATTTCACAACGCCTAATATATAAATTATTTAGTGTGCTATGTTACAGCTAGAACGGAAAGATTTCATAATCAATAAATTCACTATAAATAGGATGGTTAAGTAACTGGTTATAAAACAAGCGTTTACACATGTTCATAGTAAATACATTTATTTATAATTATACTATCTCCCCATTATACATCTTTTTATGAATTTACTGATTATGTAACATGTTTTTGTATTTATATTTCATTTAAGACCCACATTTAATAGAGAAAATCTAATAATTAACCACTATAGAAGTGAAATAAACACGATATGTAAATAAAATCGTCCCTTTGTCTTCTTCTTCAGCATTCCGAGCCCTTGAGGTTCATCGCTGCAGATATCACCCGCCTCCATTCGTCTCTCTGGTTGTCCTTCTCTTTCTAGTTGGTAACACCAAGTGTTTGCAGGTCTGTCTGGACATTATCTCTCCATCGTCTTCTTGGTTTTCTCTCGTGGTCTACGACCATTCATCTCCCTTGTGTATACAGTTTTTACTTCTCTGTCATCTGACATTCTTTCAATATGCCCCAACTATTTCAGTCTATTAGCTCTCATAATGCCAGTGATCAGTGGTGATTTAAACAGATTATGAATTTCGTTGTCCCTTTGTGGGATGTAATTTTTCGTTATTTGAAGCTTTTGCAGCCATAGATATTGCCTAACGGCTGAAATGGGCTCCTGGGATCTCTCCACAGGTGATCCGCATGGTGGCACTTTGCGTCACCGGGTGTTTATGTAATGCCCTGGTGGGGCACAACTACCAACCAATAGACACGAGCATTCACTTTATCTGTCGTCTCAATATGGGACCCAGTTTTTCTTTATTCTAAGGCCCCACCCCGGCTGTAGTCAGGTACGCTAATATAACCTAACGGTTGAACGGTGTTTCTGGGACGTCTTCCCGGGTGATCCTTATCCGCATGGTGGCACTTTGAGTCACCGGGTGTTTATCGCTTGGGGGAATGTTCTGGTAGGGTTGCATTTCACTCAGTCAATAGTCACCAGATCCACCACTCTGGTACCTCATTCAGTCCCAGTGTGGGGCACAATTTGCCGATATTTTAAAGCCTCACCCCGGATGTAGACTGGGGCCCTAATACAACCTAACGGTTAAACGGGCTTTCTGGGACTTGTGTCCAGGTGATCCTCATTCGAATTGTGGCACTTTGTTTGGTCGCTCATTGTGCGGTCCTGGAGGGGTTGAACGACACACATAGTCACGATAAAGATAACATATAGGGTGAACACAATTTTCAACATCTATAGAACACAACAAAAACACACACACAAAAAACATATAATAATACATAGAGATGAATAAAACGGAAAAAAGACCTGAAACGACCTAAAAAACGAAAAAGAAATCGAAATGAGGTCACCAGGAATGTCGATATACAGAAAAAAAAAGGATGTTACACTTGGGAAAAACCCTTTGAAAAAAAACAAAAACTATTAGTTAAGTAAAGAAGTTCTAGGAAAATGAAACATAAAAAGAGAGTTGTTTGAAAAAAAAAAGTTGTTGAAAAAACCGAATAAAAACAGTTGTTGGAAAAAAAAAACAGTTGTTGACAAATAAAAATAAAAACAGTTGTTAAAAAACAAAACTAAACAGTTGTTAAAAAAACCAAAATAAAAACAATTGTTGAAAAATTAAAAGAAAACAAAAAACATTTGTCGAAAAAAAGAAAAAAAAAAAAAAAGAACAGATGCTGAAAAAAAAAAAAAAAACAGTTGAAACAAAATAACACTTGTTAAAAAAAATACAAACAGTTGTTGACAAAACAAATTAACAACAGCTGTTGAATAACAAAAACAAAACAAAAAAAAATAGATGCTGAATAAACAAAATAAAAACATACATTTTCTTGTAAAGTATTTTTTTTTTACATTTTATATTATTTTAGGTATATTTTTATATATTTGTGCTAGTCGGGGGTCGCCGTGGTGTAGCGGCATGAGGCTCGTCTGCGGATCATGTGACAATACGCTCGGTGACTTCAGAAGGTCTTTCCTTAACCTACTTTTATTTCTTTGTATTTTGAAAGTATACAGGAAAATAGGGATTTGGAGAC